GAGAAAGGAAAAGAAAGTTTTAAGTTGATTAGGAGATTAAAGTTTTAAAAATAATGAAACCAGGTCTTTAAAAACAGGAATGAGACTGAATAACCAAAAGTGACCAAGGACACAGAATAAGTCTTCATTGTCTCTCTAAACCTCTAAGCAGAAAAGGGGGCTCAATAGAACACATGTGATGAGTTACTGGAAAAATAAAAAGTCATTTGTATTTATATCCCAAGTTGAACTTTTTAAAAAATAAAATCTTATCGTTTCTATATCCTGAAGTGAATCGGGTACTGTATGTCTATCATTTCCAGTTTCCTGCTTCCTTACTCCCACTATATAAATTCTTTTAATAAATTAAAAAATTATATATACAAAAGAAGACATGTAATAAATACATAGGTAAGTTCTGCAACATAATATAAAATTAATAGCGTATCACCTAAGCTAATAACTGAAAGTTACCTGATGCCTCTGCTTCCACCTGTGGATTCCTCTCCCATCCCATCTCATAATGTTACTACAGTACTCTCCCAAGCTGTATCTGCTTATTGTTCCTTTACTTTTTAAAATGTAATTTTATTACACTTATGTATGTCCCTATATAAGATGCTGTTTTCTTCATTCCCGGACTTTCTAAAAATTGTGTCTGTTGACACTCTGTCTTTATAGACTCCTCTAAATTTCCTTTGTATGATCAAAACTAGAACCCTGTTGCTTGTCCCAGATTTCCTTGCCAGTGGTATTCTCATCATATTTTCCCAATGGGAGGCGGTTGTGCTATAGTAGAAGGTGTATGAAAGGAGATAGTATAATTCTTTTGGCAATTCCTCCACCAAACTGCCAGCCCTTGTTGGGGTGTCAGACATTGAGGCAGTGGCCAGAGGCAAGATTAGTAGCAGGCCAGCCACAGGGCCAGGATTGTCAATGACAGTGGCAGGCAAGTGTTGGCTTTTCCAAGGGAGGTAGCTAGCAGATGGCTAGGGGCTCCTAGACTGGCTGCATTACCCAGGAAACACTCTCAAAGAAGAAAATCTGGAATTGGTCACCTGATGTACTTGGGCTTAAAGTAGTGACAAGCCACCACACTGCCCATGGAAAATAGGACACTAGAATTCCATGACATGCACTGGCAAAACAGTTACCTTCATTATCATCTCTGGTTGACTGGGATGAAGCACCCACTCAAATTGAGATCAAGGCCTTGCTGCATTCACCAAGAATGTGGGAATGATAGCTTCAAGGATTATGGGTGAGATGGCTTTTCAATACTAGAGACCATTCTCAGGATTATTTCACCCTATTACACTCTGCTCCTTGACATTTCTTCTTGGCTTAGCTCTTTCAGTTTTCTAGCTTTTCCTTGACTTTGAAATACTGGAATTTCCCAAGACTTACTCCTTTCCTTCACTCGCTAGGTGATTTCATCCCATTTCATGGCTTTAAATACTATATGGTAACAATTCTTAAGTTTATACTGCTAATCCTGATGCAGGCTGACAGATCCGACTCCCTATTCAACTCTTTCACTGGAATCTCTAATAGGCACTTCATACATAACAGAAATATTAACTTACCCTCAAACCTGCTCCAACCCCAGTCTTTGCCATTTCAGTAAATGGCAACTCCATTTCTCTAATTATTTAAGGCACTCATTCTCAACCAGGGATGATTTCTCCCGCAGGAGACATTTGCCAATGCCTGGAGACACTGTCACAACAGAGAGGGGTGCTGTTCCTGCCATCTCCTGGATGGAACCCAAGGATGCTGCTAACCATTTTACAGTGTATAGGACAGCCCCCTTTCCCCAAAGAATTACCGAACCCAAAATGTCAACAGTGCTAAGGTTGAGAAATCCTAGTTTAACTTAAAAATTTTTGGAGCATCCCATGATTCTTTTCTTTCTTTCATAGCACACATCCAATAATCATTTAAATGTATGTGTGAGATCATATTACTCCTCTGCACAAAACTCTAACGGCTTCTGATCTTATTCAGAATAAAATGCAGATATGGTCTCCATGTTATAATACTATCACTCTCCTCCTTGTTCACCCTGGCCTTCTGGCTGTTTCTCAAACAAATCAAGGAGATTCTACCACAGGGCCTTTGGATTTGCATTTCCTTTTGCCTGAAATACTCTTACCCCAGATCTCCACACATGAAGCTTCCTTACTTCATTTGGGAATCTGCTCAACTGTAACTTGCTCAGATAATCCTTCTCTGTCTAAAACAGCACTTACCTTTCCCTAACTCTGCCAACACCTAATATCATATAGTAATTATATCACGTGTTTGTTTATTTCGCCTAAGCAGAATGTAAGCTTCATGAAAGGAAGGGGGTGTTCTTTGATGCTGTTCACTTGGTGCCTATGATATGAATAGGTAGTTATTTAACTCATTGATTCTTTCATTATTTCAACCATTCATTTATTCATCAAATATTTAGCATGCTCATTACATGCCATGTAGTTTTCCACATGCTGGACACAGTAGTGAAAACAACAAAACAGGTAAAAATAGGAAACACGTTCTGTCTTCATACAGTTTGTATATTTGTTGATCAGATTATGAACTGTTAATACTATGAGCTTATAGAAACGAACAAAAAGTTCATCTACCCATAAAATTTAGTTAATGTTTTCTTTTCCTTTTTTGGGGGGGGGGGGTTTAGTTTTTCCAAGACAGGGTCTTACTCTGTTACCCAGGCTGGAGTGCAGTGGCCTGATCCTGGCTCACTGCAACCTCCACCTCCTGGGTTCTAGCAATTCTCCTGCCTCAGGCTCCTGAGTAGCTGGGATTACAGGCATGCACCACCACACCCAGCTAACTTTTGTATTTTTAGTAGAGACAAGGTTTCACCATGTTGGCCAGGCTGGTGTTGAGCTCCTGACCTTGGCATCCCAAAGTGCTGGGATTACAGGTGTGAGCCACTGCACCCAGCAAAATTTAATTGGGAGAAAGAATAAAACACTAGGTGGTGGCCATCTTTTAATAAACATTCTCAAATTTTCATTGATAGAAATAACAACTATAGATTAATTTTTAAGACATTGGAACTATTTCTGGTGCTTTATAAAAATCATTATTTCAGAAACTAAGTGACGTCTGTGTTTTCTTTTGTTGACGTAAGGACATCTCATTATAGGATTGATATCCTAATTATTTTAGAGCAGAAACATATACCTAAAAAATGAAAAATCTGATTTGTCTGTTATTTTAAGAGCATTTCATTCTCAAGAACTCTATCTTGTTTCTGAACTTGAACATATAAATAATGAAAATATAAATCTTTGAGGAACAAACTTCTTTTTCCTTGTCATAACTAGAAAACCCACCAAAATGATTATAAGGATCTCAAAGTCTTCAGTTTCATTACAAAATCATTAGTGGTATTAAAACTTCTTCTGAGGTTAACATTCTAAATTACCTTCCAAAATTACTAGGCCAAGTGTGGTGGCTCACTCCTGTAATCCCAGGACATTGGGAGGCCAAGGTAGGCAGATCAAGAGGTCAGCAGATCCAGACCATCTTGTCCACATGGTGAAACCCCATCTCTACTAAAAATACAAAGCTGGGCATGGTGGTGCATGCTTGTAATCCCAGCTACTCAGGAGGCTGAGGCAAGAGAATTGCTTGAACCCAGGAGGCGGAGGTTGCAGTGCATTGAGCCGAGATTGTACCACTGCACTCCAGCCTGGGCAATAAGAACAAAATTCCGTCTAAAAAAAAAATTACTACAAAACTTTTCATTTTGCTTTGTAATTACAAGAAATCATTTAGTTTTTGTTATGAGTGTGCTTATTGTTCATTGTGGTAAAATAAAAAAGACATTTGAATAATGTTCTTTATTGAAAAAGAGGAGGGAAAATATGTAAAATGACTATAAAGATCAGTAGAAATATTATAGTGCAGATAAATTAATACACATTTCTAGTCTTTGAAACAAGTAGGATATAGAATATTTGGTGTATATGATGATAAAATCTAGTATTAACTTGAAGACTAAAACATGAAGCCTCTCCCAAACTTCAACCTCAGCCACTCGTACCAAGATTAGCTTGTATGCACCTAAGTCATACATGTGTTCAATAATGCAAATGAATTTGTAACTGAAAACAACCAAAAGCAACCTTGGAAGATGGGTTCATCATTTACAGCGTTCCTAAGTCTTAAAATTGAAAAATTCAACTACTTGAACGCTAAAATGTGACACCGCGGACAACTAGGGTTGAAAGATCAAATAGAGAACACCTGGCTAAATTTGAAATTCAAATAAACAAGATATACATGTTTTAGAATAATTATGTACCATGCAATTTTTTATGCTAATAAATCATTGTTTATCTGAAATTGAAATTAAACTGGGCAACTTATACTTTTGTTTCCTAAATTGGCACTTCTATGGGTCAGGAGAAATTCCATCTTATGTGTCGGAGCGGAACGCAGGCCGGCGGGCGGTCCATCGGAGAAGTCCAGGCGCTGGGCCAGGGCTGTAGGTGGTCAGTGACGTCCCTCTCCTTCATCCCACCCCTTTTCAGCTCCGCAAAAAACACTCCAGGGAGGCAGGAAGCGTGGCGTGGTGATGTAAATAGAACACGAAAGAGGAAAGATGCCGGTTGTGTAACAGCAGTTCTTGGGGTCTGACAGTCACAGTTTCGAGAAGGAAGAAGAGGAGAAGGGAAAAGCAGGGCACAGATGGGGCCCTTCAACCTTTGAAGAAACGGAGCGGCCGGTCCCTGGGGCTAGATCTGTTAGCGCGCGCGCGCGCGCCGGCTGGGCACGGCCGGGGAGGAGGAGGTTGGGGCGCGGGTTACAGCACAGCCGCCGCTGACCCGAGCGTGGGCGCGGCCTCGGGAAGGCTCCGACGCGGGACTCCAGGGGCCAGCTTCAGCTGCAGTCGCCAGCCTCCCGCATCGCTCCCGCACTCGCCGACCCAGCCCCGCCCGCGTTCCTGCAACCACGAAGACCCGGAGGCGCAAGAGAAGGCGGAAGGACGCCCCGCCGCTTACTGGTTTGAGTCGTCTTGTAGATGCAGAAGCAGGAGAAGCTGAAGAGCACGAAGGCGACCAGGGCGATCGGCAGGTTCACGGGCTTGATCCTCATGGCGCTGGCCGGGCTGCAGGCGGCCGGCGGGCGGAGGTGGCGGGTAGCGCCCGGCACGGGGCTGAGCGCGCGGATCCCCTTCCCCGCGGTGCCGCGTGGGTCCCCAGCACACCCGCCCCGGGAAGCCGCCTTCCCACAGAACTTTTGCACCCTTTGCTTCCTGCTCTAGGGTTCAGCGCGTGCTATAAACGGTTGGCCAGGGCTGCTAACGATACAGTAAGGAAAGCGCCCCATTGCCTGGCCTGTGATGGCTGCGCAGTAACTTTTAGGCGACTTTCCTGGAGTAGCTTATCAAACTTTTACCCAATCTGGGAAACACTAGAACATCAGTAGAATGAGACTATGGGCTCCTTGACCTCTCCCCTCTAATCCCGCCTCTCATTGAGGATTCACTGGCAGTCTGGTTATAAACATTTTTCAAATCACTCCACGTTGGAAGGGCTCGTTTCTGTCCCCTTGAGAGGGAAGAAAGATTTGAACATAGGCCAGCCTGAGGATGCCATTATAGCCTGCATGTTCTCATGTGCTAATGACTAGGAGCTGTGACTTTCCACTGAGCGGGGACCCAGCCAGATCTCAAAACAAGGAGCCAGAGAAAGACACACCTCAATTGTCTTCTCCTTCACCCCTTCAGTCTGTTGGCGCTTGCCTTTGGCTGAGCTGTACTGAAAACCAGAAGACAGGGAAGTTCAGCTTGATGTACTAGATGGTACAAACCTGGCTTCTAGGCTGTGGAGCAGGTTGGAGAAAACAGGAGATTGGGGTGGGAGAAGGAAGCTATTCAGCACAAAGAGGTATCTCCACACTCAGCATTTCACTGCCTTCCTGAGGTCAAGTTTTGCATTTTCAGCCGCCTACCCAGCCCTTAAGCTTGGATGTCCCACATCAGATTCAAGATGTCCAAATTTCCTCATCAAGCTATTAATAGATGTTTTCCCAGAGTCCCTCGATTTTATCAGTGGCATCATAGTTCTTCTTACAATCATTTTGAGCCACATGCTACCTGCTGGCCATGGGTTGGACAAGTGTGATGTAAGGTCTCTGTCTTTCATTTTGATATCTGTCCCTAGGTACTTGTGGATAGGAGCTTCCAAAACGATTCTAAGTTACACCCATGGTTGAGGGAGAAATATATTCAAAGAAGATTGAATTAATGGGATCATTTCCAATGCTAAGTTAAGGAAAATTAATTTAATAGTCAAGGGCTTCTAGTTATTAAATCTTTCTAAGTTGAGCTCTAATTGCCTCTGAGTGTTAATAGTTTCGTCGGTATCAGAGGGAGAAAACCAGGAGAGCTATCTAAAGCTAGTGCTTTAATTTATCCACATAGTCCATCTCTGTTGGAAAACCTGAAGAGACCACGGTGCCAAGCATAGAAGAATACTTAAACCACTGAGACTTCATATGACAAACTCTTTAAATGCAGTGTCACTATAACTGGACAAACATTTTTATATCCAAAGAATAGAAAGGAAAACTTATTGCTTTTTAAAAATTTCTGTACACTTGGCACTTTAATATAAACTACATACCATTATAAATCAAATCTTTATAACTATGTAATACAAATCACAAATTCAAGTAAATACATTTTCTTCATATTCACTATTTATTTGCTTCCTAACTTTGGTTTAAACATATCAGTGACTAATTAGTTAATACCAGCTCCAGGAACAACTAAACTAAACCTCTATGGTTTAATAGAATTTTGTTTTGTTTTGTTTTGTTTTGTTTTTCCTTGCTCAAGTAATGTCTAATCCCAGCGTTTCCACTTGGTTTGTAGCTTTCCACATGATCAGTCAGAGGCACAGCCCCTTCCGTTCTGTGGTTTCTCCTCTCCTCTAGGGTTTAGAAATCCTCTTCATCCCACTGAAGGATTAGGAAAAAGCATGTGGAGAAGAAAGTTTGACCAGAATTGACACAATTTAATTCTGTTCAGATTATATTAGTGAGAAAACTAGAGGCAAAAGAAGGGGAAACTATAGATCCTGGTTGGGTAGCCGCTTCCCCTCCACACCTCTACCACACAAGCAGATTACAGACCTTCAGTGTCAGCCATCCATCTCTGCCACATCACCTTAACTGAAATCAAAATGATAATGTTTCTCCAAAACATCTCCCTCTCCCACAAATAGGCCAATTACTAGTTTCTGGATTCAAGAAATTAGTATAATTAAGGAGTACAGTGCTATTAGAAGGGAAAATAGAATGTCCACATTAAAAATCTAACTATTTTTTACACTGTGTTTGAAGGTAAACAGTGTTATCATTCACTAACAATATAGTGTTGGGAAGAGTTTTCAATCTTCCCTAAATTTGGCTTCCTGATCAGTAAGAGGGGGATGGATAATAGCTGTTCAAGTTGGTTAAGATTAAATAACGTTCACAATAATTTAGTAATGGAGTGCTATTTGGCCATAAAAAAGAATGAAATAATATCATTTGCAACAGCATGGATGGAACCAGAGGCCACTATGTTAAATGAAATGAGCCAGGCACACAGAAAGACAAATATCCGTGTTTTCACTCATATGTAGAAGCTTAAAAAGTTGATTTCATGGAGACAGAGAGTAGAATGATAGATACCAGAGGCTGAAAACAGTAAGGAGGATGAAGGAAGGCTGGTAAATGGGTACAAACATATAGTTACATTGAAGGAATAAGTTCTAATGTTTGACAGCAGAGTAGTTGTCTTTATAGTTAACGACAGTGTATTGCATGTTTCAAAACAGAAGACATGAAATGTTCCCCAAATATAGAAATTATACATATTTGAGGACTAATTGTAGAACACTAGCCATGTGCAGGGTGCATAAGCCATCATCCCTTTCCCCTAGAGGCAACCAACAATGAACGTGGTAATGAAGTCTGGATAGACGCTATAACAGTAATATCACGGAACCTTAAATCTTAAAGAGAACTTATAAGTACCATCTAATTTAATTTGTTAAATTGTAGATTAAAAGATTTAGAAAGGCAAAGTGTACAGTCGATTGGGCAAATTGAGTTATAAACTAACTTCTATTTCAGGAGGCTCTCTATTATTCCATAAACTTTTGCATAGTAGAAGGTGAGATAATTCTATGCATAATCCTTTTGCCTTTTCAGACTGCTACACTGAGTGTAGGCAGTGCAGGAGAGGAACTTTCTGCTCCTTGTTTTCCTGCTGCCTGTTGGCCCACCTCCATTCATGTTTTTCCGCAAAAGTAGAGAATGCTGATATGTTCTGTCAGAACATGAGAAATTGATTGAATTTCTTTTATTGAAAGCAGGGTCACTGTACATTAAAATTTCTTATGCATACCAATTGCCTCTTCTCTTTTCCACTATTCACTTGCATGTAACTGGCAGATATATTAAACCAATCTTATTTCTCAGGAAAGATTGTCCATCTCTATTTCTTATTCTCTCTGGTTTTTTTGTTTGTTTGTTTGGCTAACTAAAGGGTAATTATATTGTAAGATTAAGATTCTGGTTTCATAGAGAAAGTGGGACCTTCTCCATCTAAGTCCCGAGGTCTCTTAACCAAACTATGTGCATCTGCCTGGCCTTATTAAATACACCTACATACAAACCAAAGGCAATAGTGGAATGAAATTTGGAATGAAAAATATATTTTTGATTAGTACTGAGTAATCTCTGCTTTCTTGAATTCTCAGAATAAACAGCAATGGAACTGCCGATTTTAGAAACTGCTTAATGGAAACAGTTCTTTGGTATGACTGCTAATCATCAACTTGTTGCAGTGGTCAGTATTTGATCCACAGAAGACCCAAATTAAATATCAATGCCCCTTTTGGAGGGTGCGATGTCTGAAATACCTTAAAATTATACTGAAAAGAAAAACTTTATATGCATTTTGTTAACAGTGCTCTGTGGAAGCAATAAAAATATAAAGGGCAGTGGCAACCCAGCTTGGTTTTATGATGATCAATGTTGAGCTTTCCTGAATAATATGCCTCTTCCCCTAACTACTGTAGACATTGTGATTAGGGGAAACTCCTCATGCATAGATTCCCAGTATGATAGTCTTAGTGAGAGGACAAGGATTCGAATATACAGAATGCCAAGGCAGATTTGTTCTCACAGCTACTGATCATGAGCTTTGTCAACAAAAAGAAAGTTTAAGCTGTTCGGAAGAAGTTAATGGGCTGGGGTGGAGATAGTAACCAGAATAAGAGAAAAAAACATTGAATCAGGTAGAATGATTTTTAAAACTTCTTTGAAGGATGGGTGTGGGAGGGAATAGAGAAGGAAGAAATTGACAGGATCCGTACAAAGGGTTTGACAGCACGTTAACAATAGCTTAGAGAAGGGAAACCTACTCTAGCTCCTGCACCCGCTGTACCTAAGTTACCCTATCAGATCTGTTCCAATTATCCCAGCCTCGATGAGTTTAAAGGCAGCACTGATGAAAAAAAAATTGGAAAATGAAGTGTATTTAGCAAAGGATAATGATTTTAACTTGTCTATTAAGGTTGTGGGTAAAAGGATAAATAAAAGCGGAGGCCCAGGTGTAGTGAACATGTCTGTAATCCCAGCACTTTGGGAGGCTGAAACAGGAAGATCACTGGAGCTCAGGATTTCAAGACCAGCCTAGTGAGACCTCTTCTCTACAAAAAAAAAAAAAAATAATAAATAAATAAAAAATAAAAAATAGTCAGGTGTGGTGGTGCACACCTGTAGCCCCAGCTACTTTGGGAGGCTAAGGTGGGAGAATCACTTGAGCCTGGGAAGTTGAGGCTATAATGAGCCATGATGGCACCACTGCACTCTAGCCTGGGCAACAGAATGAAACCATGTCTCAAAAAATAAAAAGAAAAAAAGAATAAGAAAAACGTGAAGGAGAAGAATCCTCATGTGTCCCCTGGCGGGGGGTCCAAGATTGTATGATATAAGTTAATGTCGAATGGCAGAGGATAGTGAAAATCTTTTTTGGAATTACTGGATGTACCATAATGATGATGTAAAATGTACCATAATAGCAGGAGAATAAAAAGACAATATTAAGGTATGAAAATGGAAGTTTGGAGTATATTGAAATGTTACATTAGGTAGCACCAGA